AATGACATGAGACAAAGTATATGTGAACTGCTGTATGAAAAGTGAATTTACTCTGTAAATCTTCACCCAAATCCTAATAAAAAAAAAAAAGAATCATCTATCAATTATCCATTCTCAACCTCTCCATCTCAAATGAATTCTTCCCACTAGTTTTTAAACACACTTCCATCTATCCCATTTAAATAAATTAAACCAAACAACTTTCCTTTGACTCCCTAATCCTCTTTAGGACCAAACTTCTCTAAAAAGCAGTCTCAATTTCCTCATATCGTACTTACTTCAACTCACACAGATGTGACTCCCACTTATGTCTTCTCATCAAAACTAAAACCCCTTCACGTTGCTACATCCTATGAGCATTTTTAGTTCTAACATTACTTAGACCTCTCAGTGGCTTCCAAATTTACCATCCTCCTTCTGAAGTAATTTCTTCCCCAATTCACAAAACTCTTGTTTTCCTTTTGCCTTTCCAGCCATTCTCTTTTTGTGTCATTTACAGACTCATTCCCTAATCATTATGCTAGAGTCTTTATTCTCTATAGCTTCAATGAAGAAACTATTTTCTATATGCAGATAATTCAAACTTGTACACGCTCAACTCAGAATTCTCCTCTGAGCTCCTTACCTGTCACCTCATCATATATACGTCAATACTTCATGGGCATCACAAACTTAATGTCTTTCAAACCCAAGTTATACTCCTTCTCCTAAAACTTTGGCCCTTTTCCTAGATCATCCATGTGGGTATGTATTCCAGAATCCTTAAGATCATAAGAGACATCTTGTATTGAATCCCTCAGCCTCTAATCAACCACCACCATCATCATAGCAACAACAGTAGCTAACACTGAGAACTTACTGGATATCAGGTACTGTTTTGTTTTACATAACAGTATCTGATATCAAAATTAGTCTAATCTAATTTTGTTACCAAATTTAGTCATCACAATCACATATGGTAATCATCACAAAATATTGTTGATTTTACCTCCAAAGTTTCTTGAATATGTCATCTTCTCTTCATTAATATTGCTGCCACCACCAACACCACCTCAGTCCAAAGGATGATCATGCTTGAGATTACTTCCTAGTTGGTCGGCCAGCAATGATTCTGAGCCCTACTTAATTCATTCACCATAGAGCAGTCAGTAATCTTTTTCAAAAGCAAATCAGTATTACTCACGCATCCTCCTACACATACACATACCTTTAAAAGGCTGGGTTTTAGAATAATGGTAAACCCTTTAACTTCATTTATAAAGTTATGCATGAGGAAGTCCCTTGCTGACTGAGAAAGGGCATAGTGGCAATCTCTGGCGTACTTACTGGTCATGTTCTATTTCTTGATGGTAGTGGTGTGGTCACATTGTAATAATTCATTGAACTTTGTACCTTTTACATGTATCCTATAATTCACTGCAAAATTTACTTACAATTAAAGGCTAGAAATGACAGAAAGGATGGAAGAAAAGGATCCATAAAAGTTGAGGCTGCTGGCTTTGCAGAACTCTACTTTTAGCCTCTATATTAGATTGCCCATCATATTATAGAAAGATAAAAAGAATTAAATCATGTTATCCGAGATCACAAAACCAATTAGAATTCAGGTATTTACATTTTACAAGATGTTCTCAAATTCTTTTAAGAATGTTTCTGCATCTTTGTCATCTAGGTACTCATTGTCCTGATCAAAGCAATAAGGTCATACTGGGAAGAAAAACTGTCATAACATAAAAATTTTCACTAAGAACAAGAACATTTATAGAATTGGTCCTTCCTCAAATATCCCTCTGGCTTAAACCAGCTTCTATTTCAGCCAATTCCCATCAACTACTGCCAAATGAGCTCTGGTGCATAGTGGCTAAGGCACTTGACTGCTAACCAGAAGGCTGCCAGTTCAAATCCACCAGCCACTCCTCGGAAGGAAGATGGGGCAATCTACTTCTGTAGTGATACTGCCTCGGAAACCCAAGGAGGGATCGCTATGAGTCGCGTTCGACTTGACGGCACATAACAACAACAACAACTGCCAACTGAGATATTTCAACAAATGGATTCAAAGCTGTAAGTACTCACTCATCTGCGCCAAGAAATTTAGAAGACAGCAACCTGGCCAACTTGCTGGAAGAGATCCAAATTTGTGCCCATTCCAAAGAAAGATGATCCAACAGGGTATGGAAATTATCGAACGATATTAATATCACACATAAGTAAAATTTTGCTGAAGATAATTAAAAAATGGTGGAAGCAGTACAATGACAAGGAACTGCCTGAAATACAAGTTGGATTCAGAAGAGGATGTGGAATGAGGGATACCATTGTTGATGTAAGACGGATCTTGGCTGAAAGCAGAGAATACCAGAAAGATGTTTACCTGTGTTTTATCAACTATGCAAGGCATTTGACTGTGTGGATTATAACAAATAATGGATAACATTGCAAAGAATGGGAATTCCAGAGCACTTAACTGAGATCATGAGGAACCTGTACACAGCTCAAGAGGTAGTTGTTGGAGCAAAATAAGGGGATACCACATGGCTTAAAATCAGGAAAGCTGTGTGTCAAGATTGTATCCTTTCATCATGTATTAATCTGTGTGCTGAACAAGTAATTTGAGAAGCTGGACTATATGAACAAGGTATCAGGACTGGAGGAATACTCAATTACAACCTCAATTGATTACAACCTCAATTGTAACTGAATTACACATATGCAGATGACAAAACCTTGCTTACTGAAAATGAAGATGACTTGAAGCACTTACTGATGAAGATCAAAGGCTACAACCTGCAGTATAGATTACATTTCAACATAAACAAAAATCCTCACAAATGAACCAATAAGCAACATCACAATAAACGGAGAAAGATTGAAGTCATCAAGGATTTCACTTTACTAGGATCTAAAATAAAAGCCAAGCATCTGTCAAAACATCAAACGACGTATTGCACTGGGCAAATCTGATACAAAAGACTTCTTTAAGATGTTAAAGTGCAAAAATGTCACTTTGAAGACTAAGGTGTGCCTGACCCATGGTATTTTCAATTGTCTCAGATGCATATGAAAGCTGGAAAATGAACAAGGATGATCGAAGAAGAACTGGATGCATTTGAATTATGACGCTGGCGAAGAATACTGAATAGACCAAGAAGACGGTATATCGAATATGCCAGAAGAATGAACAAATCTGCCTTGGAAGAAATACAGCTAGAATGCTCCTAAGAAGTAATGATGGTGAGATTTCTTCTCTCATACTTTGGACATTGTTATCAGGAGGGACCAGTTCTTGGAGAACAGCATCATGCTTGGTAAAAGAGAGAATCAGAAAAAAAAAAAGAGGAAGATCTTCAATGAGATGGGCTGACACAGTGGCTGCCAACAATGAGCTCAAACATAGCAACAATTGTGAAAATGGTGCAGGACCTGGGAGTGTTTCATTCTATTGTATGTAAGGTTGTTATGAGTCGCAACCTGATTGGATGGCACCTAACAATAATAACAACAACACTACCCTTGTCAGTCATTGTTGGTGAATCTCTTCTGCATTATTTATAATATTTGCTTGTTTACAAACATTATAAATATAATGCTTAAATCAACTTTAAAGTTGATTTGATTTAAACTTTAAAAACTGCACATCTTGCAAAAGATGCAGGATTACACTAAATTGATGAAAGTCATATTGGAAAACTGTTTAAATCACAAGCAAAGCCACTAACAAAGGAGAATCCAGTAGATTAATGTGAGTTAACCACTGTAGGAAGAGACCCCTGGTTGCTCACCAAGTATCCATTTTCCCATTCCATCCAGTAACAGAACTTGTATTTTTCAGTAACTGTAATACTTGCATTTATATTTAAAAAATAAATACACAGATGTTAACACAATCTAAAGTTAAGTCTAAGAAATGGGTGTGGATCAATTTTTAAACCCAAATAGTTAAACCTGTAGGTCCCAGACTATCCCCTCCTCCTTAATTAAACATTTCATGCTGCAGCCCAGTTGGATCCTATTTATGTAAGGAAAGAGGCAATGCTTTACAATTCTATAGCCCACAAATGAAAACAAATTTATTTGGAGGAGAGGGTGAATATCAGAGTCCTTAATGAGTTTCAACACAAGTGAGGTGCAGTTTACAGGCAGACTCCACGTTAAATGCACCAGTCAATGACGCTGCAAACACAAAAAGGTTGACGCAGGAGGAGCAAAAATGTGAAAATAGATACAAGAAATTACATAAAATAATGGATTCAGCCACTCAGCACAAAGGCCAAGAACAATTCAAAGGCATTCCTATAGTTACCTACTGCACTCCTGCTATGCACCAGGCACGGCACTGTGCACCTACCGTGCCAGGAACAAAGACAGACAAGGGTTGTTGGGCAGACAGAGTTTGCTTTAAGCAACCAGAAGTTACTATCTTTATAAAAATCTTAAATCCTGCTACTGTTGTCCATGTTGCTCTCAAAGCCACTAGATAAAAAAAAACAACAACTAGGTTTTGCCTTGCCGCATACTGACATCTTGCTTTTGTTCTACTGGAAAACAAACTAAAAATCCCACAAATCTCCTTAGCTGTGTATTTTCTATAAATAAAGCTTACACAGTCAAAAAGCAACCAAGTGATTTTTTTTTTAATGTTTATCGGTATATTAGATGTTATACGGCGGAAAAAAAATTTAAAACCTCTTTAGACAACCTTCCCCAGCGTTAAAATGTTCTTTTCATAACCCACCTTTCGCGGAGGTGCTGAAGACTTTCATGAATGCACCACACATCAAAGGCAGAACAAAGAGCTCCTCTTAGTAACACGAACACGGGAGCACGATGCCCTTAAAAGATGCATGGTATTTATCGATGGCTGTTTCTGCTCTGAGTTAACACGTAAAGGAGGATTTGTCTTCAACTAGCTCCACCCGGATACCAGAAGGGGGGCGGGGATCCTTATTTTAATAGTAGCTGATTCAGGCCAGCAACACTTCTGGCTTCTTTGAGGGGTTCACATTGGGCTGTACCAATGGGCTTCTTCACACAAGATTTTAGGACACCTCACAGCGGCTAGTCAATGGAAGGATCCTCGCCTCACAGAGAGATAACTAGGGCAGCGCTATTATACAACCGATACCCGACGCCGAATGCCAGCCCGAGTCCCCCAGGAGTCTGACTTTGGAGCCACATCATCAGCAAAGGTGGAAGCACTTTTACTCGACAACTATTTAACACGACCCTCTACTAACAACCGCTTCCCTTGCGCGTGAAAATGGAGGGAAGGGCGAGGACAGAGGGAGAGGCGGGTCGCAATTCCCAGAACGCGGGTTTCGGCCCCGGGAGAAAGGGACTCGAGTTCCAAACCACCTCCCCAGGTCCGGACGACCTCCCCTTGTCTGTCGGTCACTCCCACAGAGGCGGTACCTGTTTTCGCATGGTATTCATGACACCCATGAAACCCGCCAACAATTTAGCTTCTTCTCGAGCAGCAAGTTTCTTCTCGGTCTTTTTCTTGCTGCTCTTCTCCACCCCGGAGGCTGCCATCCTCCCTCGGCTCGGTTTACGCCCGGGAATCGCCGGGCCGGGCGAGGGGTTGCAGGCTCTGGGCACACGAGGGCTTCTGTTTACCAAACAACGGGCGGACTGCAGCTGCAGTGCCCAGCTCTCCAATGAGAGAGCTAGCGAACTGCAGCTGGCTGGTGGGCAGAGGATGGTGGCGCGGTCACTTCCGAAAGAGAAGGCCTGGCCACCGGTCAGGAGCTCCTTGGGAGGCGACGTCGGGTCTCAGTTGAGTCCCGGGCAGAACCGGAGCACCGCGGATGAGCCTGGGAATTCTTGGCTCATGGGAATGGAGAGGGGGCGCTATGAAGAGACAAGGGGCGGGGCAATCACGTCACAGCCATGCGCCGCTCCGAGCGACTTGCGGTTGCCACTGCCGTCTTTGTCCCTGTCTGCTGCGGCGTGAATTTTGCCCGGTAGCTGGTGCTAGGTCACGCGTATCTTTCTGTCTGGAAAATGATAGATTTTCCAGGCTTAGATTATGTGCCGAAATACATATGTATATGTAATAATTGGAGAACACATTGAAGTATTTTCCCACTAGTATGCTCCATGGGAACAGGGTTTGTGTTTTCTTCACTGCTCTATCAGAGCCTGGCTTATTGTAGGTGCTCAATATATGTTTATTGAATGAATGGAAGAATATCACATGGTGAAAGTTAAGACTTGTTATTTGCAGCACAAGGTATATTTGCCTGGGGTTCATAAAGCAAGAACACACATTCGTCGTTCCCTTGGGATGGGATACCTGCCTCCTAGGCTGACTTGCTTCTGCCCAATATTTTAAAGTAAATCATGTGTCAGCTCCAGAAACCTTCAGTTAGGCTTCCCCAGTGTTCTGTGGGAACACAAACCGCAATCACAGCACTCATGGACATGCTTTTTTTTTTGGCATTGGATCATAAATACTTTCTTTAAAACTCCAGCTTTCTAAATCTATACTTTAACATATTCTTGTGTTTCACCAAAATTCACATTAGAATGACCAGTTGGCCTAGTAAGAAGAGAAAGTATATTAAATACAGATTGTTGTAAAAAAGTTTAGGTAATACTTATTACCAACAGTCTGAAAAAATATGCAAATCCTTGGCCCAGAAATTTCAATTTAAATTATAGTTGTGGAAAGAGATATATGTATAAGGATGTTTATTACAGCTTGTTGGTGTGGTAAGTTTTGAAATATGAACTGATGTTAGTCTGTAACCTTTCCTCCTATCAAGGCAGCAACCTGAGTGGTTATATGCTCCTTTGTTTTAAAAGAGAGCGAGGGCACAGAAGAGAGAAACAAGGACCTTGTTCTTTGCTTTTGTGTTTCAAAAGTCTAGGCCCTACAGAGAAACAGCAGGAGCTCATGTGTATAGAGAACACAACAGATTTGAGAGAGGTTCGAATAGTAAAACTTGGGCACCGCACACCTTAGACCAGTGGTTTCCCTGATCAGGGAGGTGAAGAGAAGGGAAATCCCAGAGTAGAAAGTATAGAATCTTTTTTAAATTGTGATTTGGGTGAAAGTTTACAGAGCAAATTCACTTTCCATATAGCAGCTCACATACAGTTTGTCTCATGACATTGACTATGATTTACCACAGTGCAACAGCTCCCCTCCCACTTCTTCCCCCTAGGTACCTCTTCCCTATGATGGACATGGTTTTTGTAGCTATGAATATTTATTTTTCTAGTGTATAGCAACATACAGGATTTATTTGAAGTCATACATTATTTACATTCTGAAAACTTTGTGCATATGCTCTTAATCTGCCTAGATCTACATATGAACATATAGAGACATGAAAAATAATCTACACTATTGAAACATTATACTTTGTATTATATATTGCATAACATAATACATAATGTATATATAAAATATGTTGTTGTTGTTGTTATGTGCTGGACGTGACTCATAGCGACCCCTCCCTGGGTTTCCAAGGGAGTATCACTACAGAAGTAGATTGCCTCATCTTCCTTCTGAGGAGTGGCTGGTGGGTTTGAACCACTAGCCTTCTGGTTAGCAGTCAAGATATATAAAGTATAATAATTCAAAAAGGGGCTCTGGTGGTGTAGTGCCTAAGGCGTAGTGCCTGTTCCAGAAGGTTGGCAGTTCAAAAACACTTGCCTAATATGAGTTGAACATTTACCTGAGGTAGATACACTTCTTGGAGAAAACAATCATGGGAGAAAGAAGGGCTGCTTATGCACCAGGAGACAGCTCAAGGGGCAGGAGGGTATGGAGGGATGGACACAGGGAAGAGGTAATTATTGGGAAGAAGTAGGAGGGGAGCTGTTGCATTGTAGTAAATTGTGGTCAATGTCATAAGACAAAGTGTATGTGAACTGCTGTATGGAAAGTGAGTTTGCGCTGTAAATCTTCACCCAAATCAAAATTAAAAAAATAAATAAATAAATAACCACTTGCCTCTGCAGAAGGAAGATGAGGCAGTCAGCTTCTGTAAAGATTTATTGCCTTGGAAATCCAATGGGGTCGCTACTAGTTGGAATCGAATTTAATATTTCAGTAATGTAGATTATAATGTAGTATATATACTATCTGTTACAAAAGAATAAGATAGTCATGGTTCTTTTGTCCACTGTATCTTCTTGCCTTTAATCTGGAGGTTCTCAGATGTACTTCTATTTTGATTAATCAATAATTTGAGGTATTAGAGTGGGCTCTGGCAATAGGAAGTCAAAATCAAGAACAGTAGATTTGGGTTTGGTATTTCCAATGTATTACTAATGAAATTATAAACAAGGAAAGTTTTGTTTGGTTGATTAAATGGCCTTGGACACTGAAGAGTAAAAGCATATTTAAATTTTTTTAGATTGAAAGGAAGTGAAAATCTGTCTTTTGCTAACTTTGAGGACTTGAGAGACACTGTGGATTAATGATTAAAAGGCAGAAATATAGATGAAAAGATAGAATATGACTTATGTAAAAAGCAAAAAAAAAAAAAAAAAGGGGGGGGGACAGCATCCCTTTTGATGTTGGAACAATCCTTTCACGTGTTGCAGAGTATAGAACACCAAAAGACATAAAAAGATCCACAGGATTCAGATATCAAAGAAACTATTGAGCTCACATAGTACAGAGATCAAACATGAAGCTCAACAGTCTTGATGCATTCCCACTTTCTAGTTGTGTGACTTTGGGCAAATTGCTTAAGTTTTCTTTTGTCTCAATTCCCTTATTTGTAAAAAGGAGATAATAGAACCTACTACAGAGAATTGGTATAAGGATTACAATAATACTTAGAATGGTATCAGCACAAAACAAGCTCCTCAGTGTTACTTTACTGAGTTAATAATATTAACTATTGTTTTTTATTAATTATTTATTACTTTTTACTTAATCTAGCATATCTAAAAATGTGTTCCACAGAATACTAGTATTATGAACCATGCCCCCTGCTCTCAAAATAGCTTCCTTGGAAACACAACTTTGGGAAATGATTGTCAAATATGTCCTACTTGGAAAAAAATTCTAAAATATGTTTGTGTATTAAATGCTTACTTGCAGTAAGAAACTTTTTCAATTTTGCTGTAGTAGACTGCCTGCATTGATTGAATTGTGTCCCTACAAAATATATGTTGAAGTTCTAACATCTGGTATCTTCTTTGGGAATAGAGTCTTCAATATAAAGAAAACAAAAATCCTCACAACTGGACCAATGAGCAGCATCACAAGAAGTAGAGAAAAGATTGAGGTTGTCAAAGAATTCACATTGCTTGGTTCTACAATCAATGCCAATGGAAGCAGCAGTCAGGACATTAGACAACGTGTAGCACAGGGCAAGTCGGCTGCAAAGGAACTCTTTCAAGTGCTGAGGAGCAAGGATGTCTCCTTGAGGACTAAGGTGCACCTGACACAAACCATGATATTTCCAATTGCTTTGTATGCATGTGAGAGCTGGACAATGAATAAGGAAGACTGAAGAGGAGTTGATGCTTTGAGTTGTAGTGCTGGCAAAGAATGCTGAAAGTACCATGGACTGCTAAAAGAACTAACAGATCTGTCCTGGAGGAAGTGCAGCTGAAATGCTCCTTGGAAGCGAGAATGGCCAGACTTCGTCTCACCTACTTTGGTCATTTTGTCAGAAGGGACCATTCCCTGAAGAAGTATGTCATGCTTGGTAAGGTAGAGGGTCAACGAAAGAGGGGAAGGCCTTCAATGAGATGGATTGACACAGTGGCTGCGACAATGGGCTCAAGTATAGCAAGGATCATGGAGCTGGTGTGGGATCAGGCAGTGTTTTGTTCTGCTGTGCATGGGGTCACTATGAGTTGGAAACAACTTGACAACATCTGACAACAACAACAAGATGTTACCAGTTAACACAAGATCATATTTGAGTATGGTGGATCCTAACCCAATATTAGTGGTGTTCTTAAAAAAGAGAAGAGACACAAAGGGAAGATGGCCATGCACAGATGGAGGTAAGATGGAGTTATGCTGCAGCTGCAGGTCAAAGAATGCCTGGGGCTACCAGAAGCTAAGAGGGAGATTGGAACACCAAGGATTGCTGGCTATCACCTGAAGCTAAGACAGAGAGCATGGCCCTGCTGACACCCTGAATTCGAACTTCTGTTCTCCAACACTTCAGATTGCCATGCCTGTCTTCTGAGGTGCCTCTGGGTGAGTTTGACCTGTCAACTTTTGGTTAGTAGTCAAGTGCTTAACCATCTGTACCAC